TCTCGCATAGCTAAAAAGAAAAACATAACCTCTCCCCCAGCCATAACAGGACAGTATATTAGCTGGCAAAGCAAACACTATAATCCTTTTAAATCATAGAAGGGAATGAATTTTTTCATTTTCTTTCAGCCTTTTGAACTGGAGCGTTTTTGTAGGAGTAAGAAGATTTCTTTCATGAAGTTATCCAAGATTTTAACAGGCTGTTAAGTAACACAGACTGGCTGGGGTTGGAAGGCCCCTCTGGAGGGCATCTGGTCCTCAAGCAGGGCCACCCAGAGCTGGTTGCCCAGGACCATGTCCAGGCGGCTTTTGAATATCTCCGGGGATGGAGACTCCACAGCCTCCTTGGGCAACCTGTGCCAGTGCTCGGCCACCCTCACAGCGGAAAAAGTGTTTCCTGATGTTCAGAGGGAGCCTCCTGTGTTCCAGTTTGTGCCCATCGCCTCTGGTCCTGCCACTGGGCACCACTGGAAAGAGCCTGGCTCTGTCCTCTCTGCACCCTCCCTTATATACACTGTATACACACTTATGTACGCTGGTGAGACCCACCCGAGCCGTCTCTTCTCCAGACTGAAGAGTCCCAGCTCTCCCAGCCCTTCCTCATAGGAGAGATGCTCCAGTCCCTTCATCATCTTCGTGGCCCTTCGCTGGACTCTCTCCAGTGTGTCCATGCCTTTCTTGTACTGGGGATCCCAGAACGGGACACAGCGCTCCAGGTGTGGCCTCACCAGTGCTGAGTAGAGGGGAAGGATCATCTCCCTCCACCTGCCGGCAGTGCTTTGTCTAATGCAGCCCAGGATACTGGTAGCCTTCTCTGCAGCAAGGGCACATCGCTGGCTCATGCTCAACCTGCTGCCCACCAGGACCCCCAGGTCCTTTTCTGCCAAGCTGCTTTCCAGCTGGGTGGCCCCTGGTGTGTATTGGTGCATGAGGTTATTCCTTTCCAGGTGCAGGACTTTGCATTTCCCCTTGTTGAACTTCATGAGGTTCCTGTTTAGCCCATTTCTCCAGCTTGTCGAGGTACCTCTGGATAGCATCCAAGTAGAGGGTGAAAAATAATTGCTGTTGTTGTTGACATATCTGAAATAATTTTTCCCAGTGGCTTTTCTCGACCTGCTTTCTGAATTGCAGTAGAACTTCACATTATGTTTGAAGGAGGTAATTTTATTTAGATACATTAATACCATTTAAATGGTCCATTATGGGAAAAAAAATCCAGAGGAAAATACAGCTTTGAAGAAATATAGCTTTGGTCATTCTGAAAATGACTGAAAGTATATTTACAGGCAAGATAATGACTTCAGCAGATTTGACATAACTGCCGTTGTGTTCAGTGGGGAGAAGAAATGGTGCCGCACGTTTGTCTATTTACTGGCCAGCTGCATCGCAGGGTGAGAGCCATGCAGGCTGTAGTGGTGACAGCAATGGGAACCATGAGCTGTGTTCCAGTGTGGGTGGGCAGGGAGCTGGGAGGGGGAGGGAGGGATTACTGCGGGATGAGGAAGAGACATGTTCAGGGTTTGAAGAGGAACAAATAAAGTACAGATGGAGCCATTTTAAGAGTGGAAAAGAAGAGAGGGCTGTAGGAGCCGTTGTAAATCTGTAATGGCAATTTTGTGTGAAAGTTGTAAAAAGAATAGGGATCTGAAAATTGGTAAGTAAAAGTGTAATCTAGGAAAATAACTATATGGTAGAGCCCAGATATTATGCAAAAGTGAAATAATTTTGGAATTGAGTGATTGATTTTAATGCTTTAAGGTAGCATCATACCTATGGGTGGACTTCTGGAACTAGATTCAGGAGGACAAATTTTTTAATCTTATTCATAGGAGGTGGCCTGTGCTTGTAGTGTAGGCAAACTCTTGTTTGTTTGTTTGTTTGTTTTACTACTTAGTGTAGACTTTTAATTACCGTTATTAACCAGAAAAGTGTTCCACATCAGTCTTTCCTGTACTGTAATCGTAAGGGACATTTGTGTGTTGTTAGCCTTTAACAAGTATCTGGAAATTATTTATGGCAGACTGGGAAAATACAGAAGTTGACAATACTAAACAAAATAGAATGGCATTAAGAGTGGCTGTGAGTCACCGCTCAATAGAAAAACTAAATATTTTAACTTCTGACACTCCAACTATATATGCTAGTCATCTTACAGTGTGAGAATAGATGTAGTGTAGTGCAGAATCTTTTACAGCTACTGTCTCACCAAATTGTTGGAGAACTGTGTTGTTTCAGTAGTCACTTTGTAACACTAACTTTACTTTTGTCTTCCTGTATTTAAAGTTTCATGTGATCCTCTCTCTGTGAAGCGGGACATTCTTTACCCTTGGTATTAGTTGATTCACCGAGTGGATTCCTTTTTCCCTGTGTTAGAAAGGCACTATATTATCTGTCTTATTTGGAGACTGGAAATACGGGTATCTTATGCAAGGTTCCTTGGCCTGACTCAAAGACCAAGTTCTGGTCTGCATATAGAGCCCTGTTGTATGTATCTTACTTTTTTTAGCTGCTAGTGCCAGAGAGAGGATTATGGTTTGAAGATGAAACTTAGGTTGAAATATTTGCTTTTTTGCTCCTGCTTTTTTGCTTGCTTTTATTTTTGCATTTCGTACATTTAAACAAACAGTACATTCTATTTAATTTCTTTTCTGTTTTAGATACAATAATTTATATGTAATGCATAAGGTTTTGGGTCGTGTGATCATTTTATTTTGTAATTCTGCTTGTAAGGTAGATTCTTTCTTTGAATATAGCTCAATATAGAATCCATAGAGTATATGAAATACTTAATTCTGTGGGGAAAAAAAAAAAAACAAACCCCACAACAAAACAAAACACATTGTAAAGATTGCTCGTGACAGTTGTCAAATGCCTTAAGATTTTACTTTTTTGTATTAAATGCATCCTTGGCTGTGTTTCAGGTATTTAGGACACAGTTGTTAATGGAAGAATTCATGTATAAGTACAAAATAAGAAGGGCAATCTGATCTTTGAAGAAATGGCAGGATTCCTAGACAACTTCCGGTGGCCGGAATGTGAGTGTATTGACTGGAGTGAAAGAAGAAATGCCATTGCTTCAATAGTTGCGGGCGTATTGGTAAGTTTTGAGAGGACATGAATCATAACTGTGTTGACAAATTTGGAAGTACGACAAAGTTACATTTTTGTTTCATGTATTGTGAAGGTTAGGTATGTTAGAACACCTATATTATACACAGTTTGTATCTCCTATGTGTTTAGAATCTGGATTCTTGTTCTTAAAGCTGTACATATAATTTAGCCATACACTGATATTTAATTTGAATAGACAATGTGACCGATTCCCAAAGGCTTCTCCAAAAACAATAGTGTTAAGATTTATGCGGAACTTGCTTATCAAACAGATTTAGAGTCCGACTTAAAGCTAATAACTTTCTAGAATAGTTTATACTTGTTAAGAGACAATTAAACCAATGGTATGCATGAACATTCGCCATGTTTTGTCTGCCTTTCTCTGTACTTTTCCAGCCTCATAATGCTGGTCTGTTTTATTTCTAGTTTTTCACAGGTTGGTGGATAATGATAGATGCTGCCATAGTTTACCCTAAGCCAGAACAAATGAACCATGCGTTCCATACCTGTGGGGTGTTTTCAACACTAGCTTTTTTCATGTAAGTGTATATAAAGGGAGTTAAAATAAACAGGAGCTGTTAAACAGAGTTTTCACTAGACAGTATGGTATATGATAAAACTTTGAATTACTCGGTTATAAATTACTTGTGAGTCATCTTCTTGTACCTTTTTGCATGGCAATGTAAAGGCCTTTTTTTCTTTTACCTGTGGCCTTTGTTTTTGATCGTAGTCTGTTTATTCATTGTTCTGTCTATCCCCCCATCTGTTTAGGGTAAATTGCTTTTCCTATGCACTTTGTCTAAATATAAAAAAGCAGACCTTCCTTTATGCAAGTGGCTTTCTATAATAAATGTTTAGATTCCTAGATCAAAATTCATGTAATGCTGCCCAGTTGCTTACCTCAATATAAAACATTTGACTGTATTTTCCCCATTTTTTAAAAATAATTTTTACAGCTGTCTCTGGCTCAAAACTTCCTCAAATGGGAGAGGTAGTAGTATTATAGCTATTGTTATAAAGATGTAAATGTGGCAAGCTTGAAGGAGAAGTAGCTTTTATTGAATCGTACAATATTAGTGAGAAAAAAGGATGCATTTGGATATGCAAGACCTTCTTAACACTTGGTATCTGAAAGTCTCTGGGTTTTTTTCCTCAGCAATGTAACTCATTTTAAGAAAATGTATTGTCCCTCCTTACAGGGTGTCTCTCCCTTGAATACTTATGGTATTCATTGTGAAGGAAAGGCATCAAAAAGCAACTTGTATCATAATCATGAGAGCACTGTGTTACTGGCTGTTATTATTCCTATGAAATGGCTCTAGATGTTTTAGAAACTTAAACAGCCAGAAAGTGACCAGGAATATTTCAGTCACTAAGAAGGGGCAATTCTTTTATCTTACAGGTCTGTTAATGTAAAAATTTAAGTGAAACTTATGAACAGATACAGGGTTTGCTTGAAATCCAGTTGGTATCCTTCCATTAAGGGATATGTAATAATATGTGACTATACAGAATGCCAAGTAATTTTCCCAGAATTTTTTGCATCTTGTAAGTAAAAAGCTAGCTTTTTACTTATAACTTTAAATTGATTTTCTAATAATCTGAAGTGTATACACTTTTTTTGTTCCTAGGATAAATGCTGTATCAAATGCACAGGTGAGAGGAGACAGCTACAGTGACGGATGTTTAGGCAGAACAGGTAAATAAACTCTAAAAATCATGCTGAGTTGAAAGACTGATTATTTAGGTATGGTGTTTTTTTCTAAGTGGTGGTTAAACCTCTGCAAATCCTGCATGGCTGCTGGGAGAAATAAATTTCTGCCCTGTGCTAGGCTATGGAGCAGACATTCCTTTAGAACGTCTTATTTTAGAATGTATCACAAACATTCTGTTTCCTCTGTATGTCACCTACTGTGTGGTGTCTGTGGACCTGCTGTCCTCTCTCTGCTTTCATTCGTAATTCCCGTACTATTTCCGATGTGGATCCCAGCATCTGTTTTCATGTGATTTGTAGAATGCCTCACCAGAAATCTGGTAGGATTTACTGATTTTTGAACTAGGGTACGATGCTTTTTTTTGTGTGTCATTCATAAATCAGCTCGAGAGAATCTTTGCATAGAAATATTTTTGCTTTCCCATGAGTGAGCAGGTTGATTATTTTCAATGGCGTCATCTTTCCTTTTTAGCAGGTAATGTCTAGCTGTGGTAGATGTTGCCCATCTGAAAATATCTTTCTGCAGTAAACACAGGAAGGGTTTGTTTTACGTACCTTATTGGAATGCCATCTTTACCTCAGAAACACTGTATCTTTGGCAAAGTACCTCATCATTAGTCCACTCCAAGTTGTGTTAAGTGATTTTATAGGCGTCCCCTACAGATGAGGGGAAATTTTCTGGTAGTTGTGTCAGCTCACTAAAATAAGGGGAATCCAGCTACTATGTGTTTTACTAGAGAAGGCAAATTTTGGTTTATCTCGTCCTTGACATAGGGTTTAACCCTTTCCCTTTGTGCCTTCAGCAAGATAACATATTGTATCATAATAGAGTTGTATCATAACTGGATCACTTGTCACTGTGGATAATACTCAACATGGTTCTCAGAGTTTTTAATATTTCCTGCAGGTGCTCGTGTCTGGCTCTTCATTGGCTTTATGTTGATGTTTGGTTCACTTATTGCTTCAATGTGGATTCTTTTTGGAGCATATGTTACACAGAGTAAGTTTATTTATTTTCACATATAGAGAAGTACTTTCACTGTCAGCTGAAAGGCAGAAAATGCAGAAGAATGGAAGCGTGTGGTCTGTTCTTGTCACAGAGCCATACCATCTAGTTTTGTAGTCAGTGAATGATTCTATGAATAGTGTTTTAAATACACCTTCCAATACAGAAGAACTTAATGTTTCCTTTGTTACTTACTTTGCAGACACTAATGTTTACCCTGGATTAGCAGTGTTTTTCCAAAATGCATTGATATTTTTCAGGTAAGTTATCTGGGTAAATTTCCCTCCTTCCAAAGGGGTATCTCGCTTACCTGCTTCCATGCACATTGATACTGTGGGAAGATAAGTTCTGAAAGCTGGAGGCTGACTCCAGGCTTGACCTTCCAAAATGTGGAGTTTGCTGCTCTCAATGCAGGACCATCTCTATTTCGATTTATTACCCACCCTGACCTTTACTTGAGGAGGGTGACAAAGGGACTTCTTGGGTCACTGAGTAAACTTACATTATACAGAGAACTGATGTGATATTATTCAATGCATAAACTGATCAAAGCTTTTCTTAAAAAAAATTTTTTTTTTTTTTTTTTTACTCTGCTACTTTTTTCTACTCCCTTTGCTCCAGTGCTTAGAAACAATCTTTTACTTAGCCCTTCTCAGCCCGTGAGAGGCTCTTCATTCCCCTCCTGCTCCTGTTAGTCCAGCTCTTTCTGGTCTCACTGAATTTCCAGCTCTAGAATGTGGATGACCAAGGGTATAGACAGTATTCTGGGTGACGTATTGTCAGTGTCTTTGGATAATGGCAATAATGCTTTAATCTCCGTACTAAATAACTTGGCATATATCCGAACAGCACTAGGGAGGAGATCCTGACTAGTTCATACCAATGGCTCAATTGTCTGATAATTGATACAGCTAGATTCGTTTCTACTGGATGAGCTGTCAGTTATGATGAGTGATAATTTTTTTTTCTAGGATCATGATGGTACATTTTGTAATACTACAGTTAAATCTATTTTTTATATTTCACTTAATATCATTAAGTGTATTACATGACACTTGGAAACTAACTGTGTCTGTACTAACTCTTTTTATATGTATAATGCATTCTGCAATCCATTCATTTTATTAATTAATAAAAGACAATGAAAGCATTAAGTAGTGTAAGTTCCAAGATCCGTCACTGAAAAAGTTCACATAACCTCTTCTTTTGCAAGTTCTTGCCCACTTAAATTACTGTGCTAACACTTTTCCTTCTAGTACCGTATCAAATGCTTTGCAGTGAGCCAGATTGACTGACTCCACTCTCCTTCCCTGTTGGGAAAATCAGTTACGTTCTCGCAGAAAATAGCAGTTCCTAAATCTCTTCTGTAGTTGTCCTGGTTTCAGCTGGGATAGAGTTAATTTTCTTCCTAGTAGCTGGCATAGTGCCATGTTTTGGATTTAGTAGGAGAAGAATGCTGATAACACACTGATGTTTTAGTTGTTGCTAAGCAGTGCTTATGCTAGTCAAGGACTTTTCAGCTTCCCATGCTCTGCCAGGTGCACAAGAAACTGGGAGGGGGCACAGCCAGAATAGTTGATCCAAACTGACCAAAGGGCTATTCCATACCATATGACGTCATGCTCAGTATAGAAACTGGGCGGGGGTGTTGGCTGGGGAGCAGCAATCGCTGCTTGGGAACTGTCTGGGTATTGGTCGGCGGGAGGTGAGCAATTGCATTGTGCATCACTTGCTTTGTACATTGTTATTATTATCATTATTATATTGTTATTATTATCATTACTATTTTACTTTATTTCAATTATTAAACTGTTCTTATCTCAACCCAGGAGTGTTTCTCTCTCTTACTCCTCCAATTCTCTCCCCCATCCCATCGGGGTAGGGGGAGTGAGCAAGCGGCTGCGTGGCGCTTAGTTGCTGGCTGGGGCTAAACCACGACAGTCATCTTGCGCATGATTGAAATGTGATACCGATGAAGGCAGACTTTTGAGAACAGTTTCACCAGGCTTGAAATCTTTAATCTTATTTCAGTAGTTTGATGAACGTATTTCTGAAGCTGCTTTTTGTTTCTGAAAGTCTCTTTCCTTAGTTTCTATTGTACTCTGTATGTAGATATATTTTAGGTTTATTTGTTTTCTTTTGTCTTATAAAATTTGTTTTCTAGGTATGAGCTATGAGACAAATTATGACCTATTTAAAAAAAAAAAAAAGTCTTTGTGTTTTATCCCACCACACACTTTAGGCAGTAATATTTCATAAGTCCATCCATTACTGTAGACTCCTTTCCTTAGACCAGACCTGGGTCAATCAGCGATGCCCTTCTCAATGTCCTTATCCAAAACTTTTGTTTTGATTGAATCAGATTCTCTTCCGTCAGTCCTGTTCCATAATGTCTGTATTCCCTGGACCATGCGTCTCCTTCAGAACTTGTGCTTCAGCCCTGGTTGTTAGTCCACCAGTTTTTTACTTAGTTTAACATGCTGTATTAGTAGTTCTCTTCTCTAGTTAATTGCCCAGGTGTCTAGCTTGTTTTACTTATCATTGCTTATTATTGCTGTTCTCAGTGCCAGTGTCTCTCATTTCCCTCCCTCTTCATTCTCTTATGATTTAGTATGACTGCGCCCTTCCTTACCACCTGTTTGTTGGCTATAAGAAAAAAATAATTTAAAGTATAAGGAACAATAAGGAAGTCATGCTTAGTTCTGTTCCCTCAACTTTTTTTTTTTTTTTATTCATGACAATATGTAATTGCATCCAACCTTATAAAAGGAATTTTGGAAATCAAATTGTAATTTGGATCTCATTTATCCACCACAGGATCAATATTCTTTCCGATTTGCTCATAAAAATTTAATTGCTTAGATTCTATCCTAGTGTGGTGCGTTATGTTCAGCTGATTGCCAGATGTCAGGATGAGACTTGCTGCTCCATAACTCTGTGGATCAGTCCTAGAATCTCTCAAATACCAGATTTTTTTCCTTCAGAAGGGCAGCTGCTTTTACTGTGAGACTGGCTATTTTTTTTATTTGAGCAGTTGCTTCAGCTGGATCTCATAGTTTTAGCAATGCGGAGGAAATGAAATATAAGTACAAAAACCAGATACTGACTTGAACAAAAGTGAAAGTTACTGGAAGGCTGTTTGTTTGCAGTGTGGCTAGTATAAGATTATAAGGATACTATTAAAATTACCTTTTCCACCTTATATATGGTCTGATTTTTTTGTTTTTGTTTTTTTCTTTTTCCTCCCCCCCTTTAGTACTCTGATCTACAAGTTTGGAAGAACAGAAGAGTTATGGGGATGAGAGATCACGTATAGCATTGTCTGTTCCATAGTTGCTATGTCGTACTATGTATGTAGATATATTTACATTTGCTGGTTTGCTTTCTAAATTGTATGGACTGAGACAAATTACAGTTTCTGTAATAAGCTCCCTCTTTTCACAGGACAGCTTTGTGAATATGTACATATGACTGTATATATCTTAAAAAGGGAACGTCAGGCTTTCTTTCTGAAATCTTCAGGCTTATTTCTTCAAATCTGTGGGTTTCCATCAACTCCTAAGACTTGGATCTTCCAAACCTTCACGTGTGTCAGACGTCGGTGGAACTGGTAGTGAACAAGCAGGACAAAGCGCGTACCCCGTGAAAGGGGCCCTTAACCTTTGCGCGTAGGTGAGCTAGAGCCCATTTTGTGAGGGCTGGCAGCGAGGGCTGCCTGGGTAACCTGAAGGAGCGGTCAGCGCGTGGAAGTGACCCAGCTAAGCCTGTGTCTCATGAAGGTAAATTCTATTGTATGCTGAGATAAGAGCTGATTTTAAGAATTTTGTATAACTGTTCAGAAAAATATAAGGTAGCTATTTTTTTTTTGTAAAAGGTTATGAATTTTTAAACAAGGCCCTATATTCAGCAGGTTGCACACGGCAAATCAAACTGTTCTTGACTTCTGATTGCTATAGCACAAATGGCATCTGGGAGTGCCACAGTCCTTAGAATTAATTTCATGCTGTTCAGTGTAATAGATGCCAATTAGTATTTAATGTATTTACTGATATTAGAATAAAATAAAATAAAAAAAACCCCAACTGATGCCAGTCATATTTATAGAATATAAAGAACAAATGAGAGTCAGACTAACATCTTTAAAATTATGCTAGCACAATTTTCTTCAGGGGAAGCTTTTTGCTGATAAATGAACAGTTATCCTGCTCCCTATTACCTTTTCTATTTAAAAGGTGAGCATTTCAAGTGGGGATATAGGAGATGTATTTATTGCTCACAATCTTACCTTGAAATAATTGCCAGTTTTAGAACTGCCGTTTGTCCCAGTTCAAATGTATTTATCTCCTAAATTTCACAGGCGCTTTATGGGAATGCTTCCGTTATTGAAACCCGGTTTCTTCTAGCTGGAGTATACAGAAAGGGAGAACAATGATGTTTTATAGCTTTGGCCTGATCTTGTCTATTCATCTTGCTGTTGGTGACCTCCTTGTCTTATGAGTTCTATGTGGTTTTTAAAGCATTTGAATCTACCTTGTGTCTAAAAGCTTTTCTAACTTTCTGTGTATGGAGATTGCTGACCAAATGGTAGTAAACTGCAGAATGTAACTTCTGTGCATGGTTGCTGTATCCTGTTAGTCATCTAATTGCTCCCTTGTGGGAATCTCTCCAGTGGACAGAATATGAAGCAAATACTGCAGCTGAAATTGTGCTACTGGCTAGACTAACTCCATCCTGATTTCACCATCCTGCAGTGAGTTACGATATATTCACTGGTGTTAATCGCAGCTTTGTACCTAAGGCCTCTGGTTGGTTGTAACTTCAGAAAACTGCAATAAACTTGATCTTACATTCTCAAAACAGTGAACTTCCCAAGGTAACTGTACAGTAGTCCTCTACTTAACAGCTCAAGTAGTCCTGACCTTTAAGCAAGTCTCACACCAGCTAGTAAGTTAAAACCAAGGGTTTTGTTTTCAGGTCTGTTGGTTTGTTGCTTAGGAGCTTGGGAAGGTTTGCTGGCTTTTTTACTAAGTGAGAAGCAAGTGTAGCCTGTAACTAATCCCATTTATAGTATCATGTACCTGACACTTGAACAGCACAAGCTAAGCGTTTGCCTCTGGAAGAATTCTTACAGTGTGCTTTAATGCAAGTTCCCAGTTAAAAAAACAGTTTTCTTAAGAGCAGGGCAAGAGCTGCTTTCTGCGGTTACCTGCATTTTCTACCCAAAGTTTGCTTTCTTGCAAGTCTTTCTTGACCATCCTGTCTGGTTTTAGAGAACTGGAATGGCTGTGCTCTCTATACAGCTGCTAAGGGGAGAAGAGAGACAGCTTTGAGCATGTGTCTTTTCCGCTATCCTAAGCTGAAAACAGGCCTGGTGTAAGAGCAGCCTTCATTCAGAGTATCCCGAGGTCCACTTTTACACCACAGGCAGTTCCAGCGCAGGCCAAGGTAGATAGGGACGGTGCATTCTTAGGTAATGCGTTGGCCTGCTGCAGTCAGCAGTTGTGAAGGTAACCCTCAAGTTACTCCTAACAGATGGTTTTTAACTTTAGCATTTTTGGCTCACTGTAAAAATATTTAGTAACAACTATCTCTAACAGACGGCTAGTGTAGGACTGACTTATTCAAGAAGCTGTATGCTGAATTGCTAAATAAGGCAGCAGTTAAAAACCTCTCCTGTGGATATTGATGTCCTCTATTATGCATTTAGGTTGTTCCTTTTGCAAGCCTGTGGTTCTTCATTTGTTTACAGCACAGTCTATAAAAAGAACATGGATGAACTTAAAAGCAGGTATTATGCAGCTTGTGGCTAACATGAAAATTCTTACTGGACTTATGGATGACTCGGTCTTCAGATAACTAACTATGTTGCCTTGGCATGTTGCCTAATCACATGTGATTAGATTTGTTCTACAAAGGAGACAACCTCATGAAGCTTTAGGAAAAAGATGTTACTGATTTTTCATGCTAGTCTTGTGCATTCTTGGAAGGGGTGGAACAGCATTACCTCAGATAACCCACGGCTCTGCTCTGACAGTGACCAGCTTCATTAACAGATCTAAGTAACTTGAACAAGTCATTTGAAAATAAACAAGTTTTTTTTTTTTTTTTCTTAAAACAACTTGTATCAAACCCAGGGAAAAAGTCAAACAAATAAAAACAATCTTTTTAGTACAGAAATGGTTCATTTGTTCTTTCTGTTTTATTAGACACCTTCCAGACCCCACAGGATTGTGATGCGAGGCTTTCAGGCACTCAAAACAGGACCCCCTAGCCAACTTTTCATTTGCAGGGCTAATCTGGTAGTCAACAAGAGATTTTTAGTGTCTGATAATCACTGATACATGTTCTGTAAATTCTGAGCAAAGTCATTTACAAATTTGTTTTGCTATGAAGAGTGACTCATGCTGCGGGAGCAGAAGATTAATGCTTCTCATGAATGTGTTAGGAGGCAGATAGTAGGAGCAGTTGTCTGTCTTTGCATAGGTTCATGCTGAGGAGAGTAAAGTACTAAAAAATTTATTTTCAGACTGCCGTTTTTATCTGAACGGAAGAAGCCGCTACAGAGGACTGCATGTACTTAAAATGATTCAGAAGAGTATACTGGGGTGGATATAATACATGTTGAGCACTAACACAGGCTTCACAAATAAGGCAACAAAACAAAAGCCACTATAAAAGTAATTCGTGGTGCAATTACTCACTCACTGAAAAGTTCCAGGTTGTACTACATTCTCCACAAAGTGCCATTATTTCTCAAAGCTTTATTTCAACATGGGGTGGAAAATATGATGATGGTAATATAACCTTTTTTATAACCATCTGTCTGTCTTCAGGCAATTTAGTGTTCATTTCCCTTTCACGTTCCCACCTTTTAAGTCTCTTTGGCAGAACACGGTTGCTGCTGTAGCACAGCACAAGCCATTTAAACAAAGGCTCAGAGTCTCCGCTGCTCTCTCAGGAAGTGGCATCTCGCTTGGGATTTGTCCGTGGCCACATTTTGCCCAGAGCTCATCGTCTGTCCCGCCACAGCGCTGCTCATGGGCAGGAGCCTCTGCAAAGACTTTGTACAGGCATTAATCTCACGAGGGCGCCGCTTAAGTTACTTCACTGTCGCTGGAGATGCTGTGTGAATGAGCTTGGCTTTCTTCTCCACAAAACACAACAGATAAGGTATCCGGGGGATTGTTCTCGACGTAATTGTACAATGCCTCTAAAACAGGCATGCTGGGGTCATTCAAATACTGGAAAAAGCCAGAAACAACAGTTTAGATATCTATCCACAGAACAGATGTATCAGAAATTACAGAGATGCAGCAGGTAGCACCACCTATAGGCAAGTTGCCTCAGACCAGAATTCACAGCGAAAGCTGCTGAAGGTATATTCTATTCTGGATTTCCTTGAAACTACATTGAACAAGGAGAAATTTTAAAATACCTGATTTCAGGGGTAGGGGGGATCAATCATGCAAATAATGTCCATTTAAGTCACTTAAAGCAGCCTGCATTTCCTATTTTTTTAACAAATTTTGGCTAATATACAGTTCAAACAAATTCCTACTAGTTAAGAACAAACCACAGAAGAAAACACTTCTTTATTACACATATCCTCCAACTGCAGGAATCCAGCAACTGACAGCTTGTCTGAAGCGCTGACGGAACAAAAAAGATCCAAGATTCTGGCTTGTTCAGTGTCTAGCAAGTCAGATCTGCATCTTTTATTGTTACCAGAACACTCTAGTGGCATTCTTCTCTTGTAGTTACTTTTTGCTTTGACTTCCCCTCTGCTCTCCCTTCCTCTGTAATTAAGTCATCAGATTTACAATAAATGCATAATCAAAGAAAGGAGCATTTGAAAAAAAAAAAAAAGTACCCTAGAGAAAATACTTTCTGCTCTTCCTGCCACCCCCATATACTCTCCTTTATCACTAAGCTGATCTTGTGTTTTGGGGGGAGCTGGAGCCATCTACCACTTCATGTACTGAACAAAAAAAAAAAAACAAAAAATCTGCCATTGAACACTTTTTCCCTCATTTGAAAAAAAGAAAATAAATGTTTGGAACACAGACACCTTCACTCAAAAGCTTGTTCTGTACTGTAGGAGGTGTCATAACTGGGGACTGCAGCTCAAGTCACGTCTGTTGTGGGACAAAATTTACCTTATTTTCAATTAAGGCACCACTTTCTCTGTAATCATAGCAAGGCTAATGAGCAACAGGATTATTTTTTCAGGTTTATTAAAAACAAATGTTTCATACAGGAACCTCAAATACAGCCACTTTAGCAAACTCAAGACATAAATGAACCTCAGTTTGGCTTTATGAAGGCATTTCTGCAGTAGAACTGCTCCCTATAACTCTGACACTGAAAGCCAAGATCCTTCTGTAAAAGAAGGAAGCATGTGATTTTTCTGAAACTCTAAAATAGAGTACATATGAAACTGCCTTAAAATAGTCTGCGTTCTGTACTCATGGAAAGTGTTTTGAGAGGAGAAGCCTCAGGCTGGTTGATCCCTTTTAGAAATACACATTTTAAAAATTCTCCATACTTAACGCTTTTCCTTCATTTCTTACCAGTGTTTTGCCCAAAACCAGGCTCAACATTGCTCAAGACTATCCACTTAGCTGCATATTTTCCAGATTAACACAATTACTCCACATGATGATAGCCTCTATTCTTGCAAGTCCTTTGCATGAAATGCTGCACTATTTTCAGTACACTGTACAAGGATTTTTTTCCCCTCCGTGAGATATACTTCGCTTGATATGTGATACAGCTGTCTCCACTGAGACCCCATGAAATGGTAGCTGAGGTAGCATGAAGAGAGAAAATGATGTACTCAGGACTCTGCAGAAAGTCAGGGTTCATTCACCCATACATCTATAAAAATCTGGAAAAACAGCTCCACAATCACAGAACTACCACAGTGCAATGGACCACTCTGAGACGTAGATACATACAAAGAAATAGACCTCAAAGACCTGCAAACAAATACAAGCTTTTAAAACTACGGAAAGTATGCTGAACGAGAACTTTTAAATCAAGAACTTTGCTTAAAAGACTACTTCCTGTTTAAATACTAAAAAGAGGAAGGTGAACAGGCTGAAACAATATCATTTAGTACAGAAATGTGTGAGCTACAAGGAGAAAAAAAGTCCCAGGATGACTTTTTCAGCTGAGTATTGCTAAAACTACAGGAAAAAAAGAAAAAGCCCAAGAACATTCTCTGAGGTAGCCCTTAGTCTTCAAGTCAGTCCTTGCTCTTAAAACAATCAGTGTTTGCTTTTCCATACTCGATTTCTAATCGGAGACCTCAGTCCCAAGTACACGTTCTGCAGCACACAAAAGCTTTTTGCTTCAAGTGAGCAACTGTTTCAGGCCTCACGACTTAGATAAGCGAGGAAAGGGGTGGACAAAGGGGTGGTCAAGCAACAGAGAATCTGACTCCGGTTTTGTAACAGGATTATAGCAGCATTTGTATCTTAGTGCAGAGAAAAAAATAATTCAGTTGAGTAAAAGAGGACGAAAGTGGGACATCATATATGAGAAAAGTAACAGTTTACACTAAGTCAACAATTGTTTGTATCTTTTTCTGTTACGCAGCAACTATCTTTGTTCACATTCACACCAAGTCATCACTGTCTTTTAGGGGGTGGGAATAAAATGTTGTACACGTACCTCTTCAAAGTGTGATGGGATTTCTAAAGGTGGCTGAGACCAATATTTAATTTTTTTGTGGTGTTTCCACAGAAGAAACAAACCGACTGTTACCAGGTTTACAAAAAGTAACACCAACACAAGTATTAGTATAATATATCCAGCTCTGGTTGCCTCTGAAAAAGGGAAAAATAAAAAAACCTCAAAACATATACAGATGGTAGGTTCATATTTCTACATCATCAAATGTGAAGCAATACACAGCAAGCTGAAATTTGCTATACTTGGTAATCAAAGTATACCTTCCAAGGCTAAGATCACAACTCTAGATGCACTCTCGACACCTGTGTTCAGAAGTAGCTTGTTTTGTGATTGCACGTGGAAGTGACCAGCTCCCACAAGCTTCTTCCCCTTAATCAGGCAGCCTAAGGCAAGCTTCTACCTGACACGCTAGCAGGGCAAACGCGGAGCTGAAGGAATCTCTGCCGGCGGGCAGAGGGCAGGCGGGGAACGCAATCTGTCCTTCCACCCTCAAGTTGTCAGCAAGGGCCATTAATGCCAGGGGCTTCTCTTTCAGAAGATGCACCTCCCTTCAGCAAAGGGAGCATCACAGAGCCCAACATCACAGCCCAGGGGCTTGCGATCAAGTACTTGGCCAACACTACCCGGGAGGGCAGCTCCTGTGGGTCTCCAGAAACCGCAAAAGCAGGTTTCACCTACACATCTTCCAGCGTGTTCAAAGCATGCTAAAGATGGGTTGTGCCTGCGTGCTGGTGGTCACGCCACCTCAAGAGACGGACAAACTCTGATATCTTGCACAGGCCCTCTCCTCCCCGCACCCTCTCTCTTATCTCTTACAAAAACATGGAGCTCGAAATGTCAGAGAAGGAAGCAGGTCAAAGAGGAGGGGGACGTTCCTGTCCTGCAGCAGACAGTGGCTGAGGGAGAGGATTTGCAGGAGTAACACCATGTCCTTCATCAATAACTTCCTCTGAAGATCGAGTATTTGTATTTTCTTTCTTTGCATATTTCTAGAAACTAATACCCATAGCAGTATTTATGAAGGAAAAGAATGAGGGGAAGGGTATAACACAGACCCTCAATTACTGACTGAAAAATTCCTTATTATTTTGCCACTAATGACAATTGTGAACTACTATCAGTGGTGCTCTCTTAGCACTCCTGACAAATACGGGTATGTAAGTGACCAGTTACACGATCTAAGACTCATGTTCTACACTCATCCCATGATACACAAAAAATAACAAAATCAGATTTATACCACTGATTGTAGTTCTGTAACAATCTGGGGCACTTTGCAGTCCAAGTAACTGGAGATCCAAATGTGTCATCAATTCTACTTGAATTCTAAAACAATAAAGTGTCGATTCCTTTAGATTTCCAATTTTGAATAGTGTATTGCTTGTTTTTATCTCCTGTTTAAAAGAAAAGAAAAAAAAAAAAGGTGTTACTGTAAAAGCCAGACCTGTCTTCAACACAAATCCCCTCCCCATATTTAAGTTTCTCATTCAAAAAGTGGAGATTTTCTTTTTCATAATTCAGCTTTCCCAAACAAGAGAAGCAGTGAAATATATTTCAACTTTCCTACTTGAATGCATTTGAAATTTCATTATTTTTAAATGAAATTAAGCCTGGCCATTTAAAACCATCTATAAGGGCACGAACAGCAGAGGCATGAAAACTGATGCAAGGTCTCATTTTATGCACAATATGCTGCTGGACGCTTTGATGCAGTGAGTGCAATATAGGAAGGGGGAGGGAAAAACAAGCCATGAGAAGTGCCTCCACCATCAGAAGAGGCTGACAGAAATGCAGTTCAGTGAAGAGCTTCCACCATCTTGGCTCCTTCTACTGAAGAGGAAAACAGCTGATGGGCAGTGCAAAACTTCCACAGCCTCCACACGGCCACCACAGTCTTTTGGGAATTTTTAACTTGTAAGGGGCTAGGGTAACAGCCTCGGTGAAGCCTACAGAAGCATACAAGAGTGACTTCTTGTCTGAATCTCAAACATGAAGGTTTTTTATGTGTGTCAGAAAAGTACAAATTGGTGCAAGAGAGGAAGGAAGTGGAGGCGTTTCAGGTTTAGCAAGGTCTTTGAAACAAAACAGGTTTAAAATAATTTTTTTCTGCTTCTGTTTTTAAGCATTTGACTTCAGAATAATGTTCTTTTGAATCTTTTTTCCTCTTTTTTTTTTTTTTTTTTAAGTGTAACTTAATCCCTCCCCTGCAACACTGTCCCATCAAGAACACAATTACCAGGGTCCCAGACAGCAGCATAGGCGCACAACAAGACCAACACCTCTAAGTCTCAGTACGAACAGGGACAGCTCATCCCAGCTGTATCCAGCATTGTTCTAATAACTCTGCCTTTCTCTGGCCTGATGTTGCCTGTTCCTAGGGCAAAGCAGCTTGTTACCGAAGCTGCCAGCACAAAAAAGCTCAGCACAGGAAAGATAGTTCACAGAACTGCCTAAGCAACCTTTGGAATCTAAATACCATTGTAAAGCCACCTTTGACACTTTGTGGATTCTCTCCCTTGATCTGCAATGTGATTTAACCTTTGTTTCGGGAAAAAAAGGATGTTTTTGAAAGTTTCGTAGTACATGCAATACTTGTGCCAAGACCAAATTAATTTTTTTTTCAAGACACCAAATGTTGACCTTCACTGCTAGAGAAAAAAAATGACATTAATTTTCCTCCTCCATTTCTGCTGTTTTTCCAAGAGACACTGACTCATATCTCTTAGTCACAAAGGCATTACAAACAAAATAAACCAGAGAGAAGTCTTACTTTTTTAGTAGTACTTGTTGCGTTCTCCCAGTAGGACACATGATACTGAAGAAAGTCACCTGCTTCAGGTCCAAAAGGGGGTGTGACACTAACGAGAAGTGAGTCAGAGCTTACAGTCACGCTGTTCACTTTAGGGGGCCCTATAGTAGCTGAAAATAACCACAGAAAGAGCAGTGAACCTCTGGGATGCAGAACAGCTCATCATACTGTCTTCAGCTTTACTTAGATACTCTCAGCAAACATGCTAAATATGGACAGCTTTTTCTCAAGAAAAGGAATACAACATTTTCTCATCTACTTAATGCATTTAGGATATCTACTTTATTACAAAACTAAGGAAAAAGACTAGAAAGCATAAGTGAAACTAGGTAATTAAAAAAAAAAGTTTCCTGTTAACTTTCCCTAGAAATTCAGTAAATATTCACTAGAATGTATCTGAATTTATCTGCAGTTAATGGTGATACAATTTTGTTCATTTTTTTTTTCTTGAAATAGCCTGCTACATATTCCACATTCTCTAAAAAACACGCTGTTTGGGTCAATAGATTGGAAGAGGAATAACTAGTTTCCCCCTCCTTGCTTTGATGTCTCCATCCATCCTATAGGGTAAAGATGATGACTTCCTTTTGTGAGGCACTCTGAGGTCTGAATCATGAAATATAAATAAACTACTGTCATTCCTAATACAAGAGACTTGTGTGATCACAGGTCATATATGGTCATTATTTATCCTTTGTATCTTGACTTCATTCGCCAGTTAAGCTTATCAGCATTTGTAAAGCACTCCACGATCTCAAAAAACCCACTCATGCAAATATTAGTTAACAGCTGCTTGCATACTAAAGAGGCGTAATTATTAACAGTAAAAATCAATCCTTGCATGCCATCATTGCTTACGGTACCTCAAAAAATTCCAGCAGAACCTGCTCTGTCCACTGTTACTTTAGAAAAAAATTGGCTCCCATGATCTTTACATTGCTGGAGGAATTTCAGTTTCTTTCTACTTCCTGTTGCTGTACAACTGCGAATGCCTTTTTGTGTGTCCTCACAAATTCCCGAAGCTTCACTCTTATGTGGGACTGACCCAGACGTTAAAGGAAGAGAACAGCCTGACCGAGTAGCCCACAGTCTTGGTGTCTAGAAACTGGTCTCACAGGTGGTCACACAAGAATGATCTCATAATGTTCCTCTTGCTCCCACAAGGAACAGGCACACAGACATCTCTCCCACACAGAGCCTCTCCTTTGTCTTGCATTCCCATTAGCACAGTGCTTTCCTAACCCCCAAATGATCCCACACCCATTCCCATTAGCCCAGTGCTTTCCTAACCCCCAAATGATCCCACGCCCAAACAATCCTGCATCACAAGCTACAGATATGTCAGTTGTAATATTCACCTCAGGATTCGGGTAGTTCCTCACACCCACACTCTTTACTACTAGAGAAAATCTGAGATTTAGAACTGAAGTCACCAGGGAAAGTATCATACTCCCTGCAGCATGGACCACCACTGCTCCTCACAAGGTATGGGAGAACTTGAACTAAAGTGTTAATAAATCCATTCCTCTGCTTCATTGTCATGTCAGAGGTATTTTTAAACTCAACATTTACTTTCTTCTAATCCTGAAACCAATCACAGCAAGGCAAAGAGCAGATATTATAAAGAATACAATAAGAAACAACAATATGCTTGTTCACACATTTAACAGGATTTAAAGTGTGCCTTCACCCTTCTACACTGTAGTCAGGACAGTTTATATTTGTTAGAAAAGGGATCTGTTCAACAGAAACAGGTAGTTTGTACTCAGACTACCACAAATCAAGGGGGTGTATGTGTGCATGTGGCACTGCTAAGTGGGGAAATAAGAAAATGGAACACTCTCCAACACAATACACGTTGTAGTTCTTATGAGGCCTAACCACCCAAGGAAACTCCTCTGTTTCTCTTCTGATACCTGCTCAAAGAGCACACTGCTAGCCCCACTACAAAGGAACTAAGTAGTATCAAATTCCTAGTGACACACTGAGGCCTTGTAGTCTTTGTTAACTGACCACATACAATTCTTTCACTTGGCTTTTGTACATAACAGAGTCAAAAAAGCCTAGAACAGGCAATATACATTTTTTTTCAAAGAAATCTCCTTTGAGAGAGAGACACTGAAATCATAAATAGCACTTACTGTTTCTCTCTGCCACAAATGGATCCGTTTCCACCCAATCGGAAGTCACTTGCCCTAGCTCAGCCCTCAAGCGCAAAACAACAGTCCAGCGCCGCTCCTTAAGGGAGCGGGAGAAATTGCATTCAGTCTTGGCGATACGAGTACAGTTCATCTCATCCCACTGGTTAAAGGCCCCTCTGCAATGCAAAACAAAGGACAAATAAAGCATCAGCAGAATAGCGCAACTATCTAAAATACAATCCCTCCCACCTAGACAACTTTTGTAACAACAGAATATGTTACAAAACTACCACTTTCATGTGGGTTTAATTCCACAGCCCTTTCAGCACCTGCATCTCCTCAGTATCTGGGGAAAAAAATTAAAATTAGTGAGGGAGAATTCAGTAAGGCTAAAATTATACAGGAAACCGTGCAACATTTCAGGGTGCTCTTCAGATCTTCAATCTTTGCTCAGTTTAGTGGAAATACCACAGGCCAAAAGACTGTCAGTCTTCAGAAGCTGCTTTCAGATATATATAAAAGCATCTGTAATAGACAACTCATTCTCTGAGTTGCTTATTAATTTTTAGCTTTATTTTTTAAAACCAATTGTGTTAATGGATTAGAACAAAATTAGTTTGGTTGGTTTTAGAACTATTTACTTACGTTTTAAAATGGACTGTATATAACACCAAGCCTCTATCCACTTTAACAGCAGACCACCTCAGCAAACTATGAAAGTTATAGGAATAAATCATCACATCCTTTGGCGCCGGTAAATGGGTAGAAGATTCTAAAGTAAGAAGAGGAATAAAAATAATTATTGAAACATTCAAGTACACAGTAACTAAATTTTGGTCTCCAAATTCCATCACCATTCCGTTACATTTTCACTGATCTGCAAGCAAAACCATTCCTCCGCCTCATTCTGTTTCTAGGTGCACTAGTACCAACACAGTTAAGTCCCTGCTATCCAGGGAATTGCAACTTACTGCTTTTATTTATTCCATACAGAACACAGTGCTGGAAGTACCGAGTCCAGCACAAAACAAGAACCGCCCGTCCCCAGCTCCCCCATGAAGCTATAAATTAAGGTCCACAGCCACTTGTCATTACAAAAGCTCATCTATTTCAATTGTCTGCATCTCACATTTTACTGTGTTAACAACTCAGAACACATTTTTCCTGACCATCTGCCTCCCGCTGACCTGTTTGAAAACACTGAGGTCACTTCACTGAAAATTTCCAGGAAACGGGGGGCAGGAAGCCTTCTTGTACTTAAACATGCTCAAACACACAGCGCACTGTTCCACTTGCAAGCCTGAAGTTTTGTCGAGTTTGAAACTGATTTCACAATGTAGGAAAGGCCAGAAACCTCTGTTAGAGGCATGCCTCCTGCTAGCAGAAACGTTCACCCAAGTTCAGTCACGCTATAACTCCTGGGGGTGAACGAAGACTGCAAGTGCTCTCAAGCAGCTTGTCAGGAGGCGATCAACAGGGAAGCTGTGAGCAAAGAGTTGCATCTCTCCTATGGGGGAAGAACCACTTCCTTGCTGGCCCAAGCAGAGCGGAGGAGGAAGCCGTCTATTCACGCTGGAGCACAGCCAAAGGCCGGCCAGGCACCAGGCTGGGGGCAGAGGGGTAGAAAAGCCAAGTGGAGGAAGGGAGAGAGGAAGGGAGAGACGGCAGACAGCCAAGCAAAAGGCAGAGAACCGAGGGCTGGGGAAATGGGGGCAGGTGAAGTAAAGAAAGCCAGATGAGAAGCGCAGTAGCAGCTGGAGGGAGATGTTAGCTGGCAAACAGGGCACAACAGCAGGCTGGAGAACAAAAAAACCCACTGAAAGGCAAGGAGACCAACAGCAAGGAATTGGGATGGCCAAAAGAAAGAGACTAAGATTACCGCAAGTAGGCTGAGGCAAGGAAGGTGGGAAAACGCAGTTATCAAATGCCTTTAAAACCAGAAAAAGCCTCATACTTTTAACCACAGCACTGCAGTCACTCAGGCGGGAAGGGCCCTCGGGAGCTCTCCAGTCCAACCTCCTGCCCGAGCAGGGCCAGCTCTGGCATCAGACCAGGCTGCTCAGGGCTCTCTCCAGGCAGGTCCTGAACCTCCAAGGATGGAGCCTGCACAACCTCGCTGGGCAACAGCTTTGCTGCCTGCCTCTCCTAAAAGGGAGAAAGGTTTTCCTTCTACGCTTGGCCTGTATTTGTCCATGTAGCTATCCCCTTACACCATTAAAGATACTGGGTCAACAGGTCCTAAGCTCAAAGGCAACCACGACATGACATGATATCCCACATGATAAGATTTCATTTTTTGTTCTTAAGACAACAGTCTCCTAAAATGGTTTGTTTGTTTTTAACTAAATAAGATCAGAAGATCAAACACTTATACTAAATTCTGGCTCCAGCCTTCTTTGGGATTATGGGGACAATGTTAAAAAGTTTTTTCTTTTTGATTTCTGCATCTGATTTTGTTACACAGCACTAGACAGCACACTCCCGCTGACAGCGCTCTTTCAGACGTGACATCACGCCAGGCTCTTAACATCCTCCATGTACAGGAAGGAGATTACACAAATCTTCGTAAAGTTGCATTAAACCCTAAGTCCGAAATACAAAATAACTAGTTAAGCTCTCAAAGTTTTAGTTCAGTATTAGTTTCTTAGCCTCAACTTTTGAGTAGTGTTCTCAAGTAAACACACATTGCCTTAGGCTACAGATGGATCATTCAGCAGTGCAAACCTGTTTGAGATTCCTTACAAACAATACCTAATCTCTCCCGTATTTCAAAGGCCACTAAGTAACCTTTTCTTCATTCAAGAAGAGTTTTCACTTTCCAGCAACACAGATTCTTTCTTGCACTCTCACTGCTGGTCTGGCATGTGGCGAGGTATCTCACACCATCAGTAATCTGTGCACTCAGACATCCGATACAAACTAATTTTACAAAATTCAAGAAAGCTGTCAGAACGAAACACAAGCACTAGCATTTTTTTTCTTCTCTTTCTCCTTAAAAAAAAAAAGAAAAAAGAAAAGAAAAAAGCTATGAAGGATGAGAGCAGCTGATCATCTTCTCAATCAAGACTGCACACTGATTATTTTGCCTTATATTATCATTCAGAAACAGATCATTTGCCCTACCAGCTTCAAAAACACTGAAAAAACTATCAGATCTATGGCTCTGTAGTTGAACATCAAGGTGCTGTGTGCCACAAGGTGCTGTGTGCCACCACTGAGGAGCTGTTTCTGTAGCACACCAAAGGAACGCATTCGTATTTCAGTTAGATATCTCAGCTTGACAAGGGAAGTTACTTAAATTTCTGAAATCACATGCTGAACTCCATAACAACCATTATATGTTTGTATGACCCAAAGTAACAAAAACCACACACTTCAGAAAAAAGCACCTACATATGCAAGTATTCTAGAAAAACCCAAACTATCTTAGCCAGGGAAAGGTGGAAATGCCCCGTCCTTTCTCTCTGTCTGGAAGGTGGTCTCGCTGAACCTGTTCTTTTAAAGCACTTGCCAAACAACACTCAGATTGTTTTTTCCTGATGCAGACACTTCCTGAGTCTTCAAGCCGCAAGTCAAAGCTTTTGCATAGTAGAGTGTGAAGCCACAAGTTACAATGAGTAAAAGCAGCTCAGCTTGGCCTAGCCATCGGCTTCACAGACCCCATTCCTAAAAATTATTTCGGATCCCTTCCCCTGCATCAGCCTTAAAACCCATCATTGTGAAATGGCAAAAAAGAAGTCGGGGGGTGGTGGGTGGGGTTTGGATGGACTTCTGCTGTTCTAGGGTGCCGAACTGGCTTCTCATATTGTCAGACAAGCACAAATGTATGGCCAGGCCGGGATGGGTGATGACAGCTGGCTATTCTTTTGGCTCAGATTTTGACGTGCAGCATCTCCATTTGCAACAGAAGAAACACAGCCCGCCCTGCCTATGAGAGAGAGCGCAGAGGGGGAAGAGACCCTATGCACAAACCAAACACCAGAACAGCTCCCTGGAAAATCCCGCTGCTGCTGATGGGATGGGACCGGGCAACACTG